CAAAGCTGTATTTCCCATATTCATCCACAAAGTTTAGTGCCTCCTATTTTTTTATCCTCCCTCCAACAGGGCTAAACATATTTGAAACCTACTTGACTATGTCCCTCTAATCCCTTCAAATACCTGTATCGATTTTGTTTTTAATTAAATTCTATATGCTAAGCATCAGCTGTGTTAGATACAAATATGGGCATCTATCCACTACTTCCTAGAGTAGCAGTCTTGGGCAGACCCTTTGACCCTGAGTCTCCAGTGTCAGGTTGTTGTAGTAGAGAAAATGCATTAAAAAGTTACAGCACAATGCCTACCTGGCACAAAACAGAACTTCAGTATTACTATGATAATTATAATTTATTAAATCAACCACTTAACATATATCAAAACTTAACTCTTAAAAAAAAAAATCCTGAAGCTTAAAAGCAAGCTCCTAAATTATCACTCTAAATTCTTAACTTGTTTATATACAATCAGAACATTCTTCACTGGAACAGAAATAAAGTCCTTTAATGTACTGCATTATATATTAAAAAACCAAATCTCAAAGATAAGAAATCCATCCAGTGTCCTAGAGGTTGATGGTAGACAATGAATACACTGCATACAAACATTTTTAAATGAAATTAACCAACTTTTAAGGTTTTAGAGACTGAGTTTCAAACTTCAGCCTGTAACAGAACTACCTGGGGAAATCGAAAAACTACTTGGGCTCTACCCGCAAAGATTCTCACTCAGTGCATGAAGGAGGGGTTCATAATTTTAAAAAAAAAATTTTTTTTCAGACCCACCCACGAATGCAGAAATCAATTTGCATTTTAACATACATTTCACATGACATACAGATTCCATTCTAAGAAGCCCTGCCTTCCAACTTATGAATTAGGAACATATATTCATAGAGGAAATATACCAAATCTATAAAATACAGAATAACGAAAACTGTAAGCACTACAAATGTTATGCACACTCACTTGCCAACTTAACCTTAAGAACCCTAATACCAGACACAGTTCTCTCATCTCTTCAACAGAGGGCTCCATCTAATAATCATCTTCAACAGAGGGCTCAGTCTAATAATCTTATAAATAAGTATAATCTAGTAAGAAATGCCTAAGTCAGTCTACGTCTCTCTGCCTAAAATTTTCATTTTATTCATTTTTATTTTATTCTTAAGACAGTTCATGTCAACAACTAATCATCTCTCCTTGACACACACGTATTACATACGTTATTATGAATATGACTGGCATATCGATCTCTCCTTCACCTCCTTCTAAACCTATTTCACAACTTAATTTCATAAACTGTTTCTTTTCTATCACTTTTTATTATAACATCCAACACGTCTGTTCTTTGCACCATGTTTATGGTGTCTTATATTTATGGATAATGCTACTTATTAAAACTGTCTACATTTTGTCCATTTACACATCTCACAACCAAAGAAGGACTACTCCGACAATTTCCCAAGGTCTTCCTGCCTTGAAGCTCTCCTCATTCCAGTCCATTCTGCAGTTAAGACTTAAAAAGTTTTAAATACTGCTTTGAAATAATACTTGCAACATAATTTCCTCAACTCCATTAACTCCTCAGATTATCATTTCTTTATCCTTTTACTGCCCCCCAAAAAACGTGAAAACCACTAGCTCAGCTGCTATTTTCTACCTACTGACATTTTTCCTACAACAGTTTCCATCATTTCTTTGTATTTCCAATGTTGTGGCCCCTTAATCTTAACTTAATTTTTGTAGCTGTTAAGACTGCTAATGACTCCTCATCTCCTCTGGCTTCCCTAATGTTGTATCCACTCATTTTCTTCCATCTCTCTAAAGGCAACAAGGTCTTCTGCTAGTTCATCTTCCTACCTCTCATACGTGGCCTATCTCCAAGTTTCTGCCAACAGCCACTTTTCTTAACCTAAACCAAATCTCTGCACAGTGCCATCCATTCCCACAGCACCTCTATACTTACAAACCCCCTACTCTGTATCTTTAAGCTCTTACCTCTGGCACGGTATGCCTGCAACTACCAATTGCCAATGGTACACATCCATTTGGATGTCTCATTAGCATCTACATTAAGCATATCTAAAATCAAACTCAGTTATTTTCCAAAAAAACTCACTCTGCCTAATCTCACTGTCCTAGTTATGAACTGAAAAATTTGGTGCCATTCATTACTTTCTCTCCCATGTAGGGTGATATTCCTTCAGCCTTCAATTTCTTCATAATCATTAATTTGAAAATTGTCTAGTAGATTTTGAGTGCCTACTAGGCGGATGAAGATGCAGTGGTAGAAAAACTAGACATAATTTCTTGTCTTCATGTGGTGAGAGAAATGGGCACGAATAAAAACCACAATTATGCAATTACAGTGCACAGTTAAGTGTATCAATGGAGAAATACAGGGGGTGGTTAAGTATTATAATAAAAAGTCCTGACTTAGTCTGAAGAAAAGGAAAGCCATTCTTTATGAGGGACAAGCAACGTTTTTAAGACACACTAAGACAAACCCTGTGAGGTAATGGTAGCACTGTCAGTCCAGCTGGTCAAATTAGAAAATTCTCAGTCATATTCTTAAGAGTCTCTCTTTCCCAGTATATCAAATTGTTTACCAATTGCTAGCAATTCATCCTCAGAAATTCCCCTACATTTCTTCATTTCCACACTATTCCCTAGTCTTTTTTTGATGGCTTTTAGTTACTTCCAGAATAAAGCCAAATCTCCCAATCACGTCAGAGACTCTACACAATTTGGTCAAAACCTGCCAGTGCAGCCTCTTCTTCCAGACTAGAACAAACTTCAAGAGAATATGTGTATCATTTGCTTTTATACTTCCACTGCTTGAAAATGTTCATAGAATAAGCATCTCACAAAGGAGAACATTTTTCTCCTGGGGGACTTGCTTTCAGTCCTTTAGTACATGCAGAATTAAAATTCAAACCCACATTTGTCTGATTCTAAAAGCCGTGCTTATTACCTTGTACCTCCCTTCTAATTTATATTCAAACCTTATAAATTTCCTTAGAAACATCTCTTACTTCTTTTTTCCCCAAACTTACCAACACTGTTCCACTACAGTGCCCCATTATTTCATCTGGTTTCCCTTTGCCTTTATCCTTGAGTTTGCTGCTAGAATTATCTTCCTGAAAACTCAAAGTTGGACATATTATTCTATATTCCAAAGCTTTAACGCTTTCTCATGTCAGTGGAATAAATTCCTAACTCCTTCACATTTTCCCTGAGGCCTTTGCCTCATGGCCTTGACCCCCGCCAACCAAGCACTGCTGCCCACTATATGACATCATCATCAGGTACAAGATCTAGTCTCATCACTAGACTACTGGCTATTATACAATGGATAACTGTGTTTCCGACTTCAATGCATTTGCTTCTGAGGAGACTTCACTCAGAAACGGTCCTCTGTTCATTACTAATGTCTATCCCCCCATCCACCTATCATGCCATGTTAAAAACTGGCCTCATTCGAAAGACTGTATCCCACAGGGTTATCTCACGTCTTGTATATAACCACCATCTCCTTCAGGTCTTATTAATATATTCTTAATACTAGAAAATATTTATGAATTTCTACCTTATACTTATGTTACACATTACATTACAGCTATCTGTATACATTTGTCAGTGCCTCTAGCTGTACGCTGATTGATAGTAGGGATCATCTCTTCCATATTTTAATTTTCATAATAATGGTGACTATGTTTTCTTGACACTATACTCTTCTACAAAAAAAAAAAAGCGGGGGGGGGGGGATCAAGACCCATGGTCTGACAAAAAATCTTGAGCTAGTTCCAAATGTGACTCATAGATGAACAAAGATATCATTTCTTCCTAAATTAACACAAATAGAAGTACATGCCAATTTAAGAAACATTTTATTTCAAACACTAAATATATAACTAAAAAAAATTCTAATAATGTCCCTTTCTCTACCAGATATTAAAATATAATTTATTAACTTAAATGGTATAATTAAAATCAGCACAACACCTTCGAAAACTGACAGTATACACTAAAATATATACATACCCTATGACTTAAAAATTTCACTCCTAAGTATACATCAAACAGAAATAAGCACATATATTCACAAGACGACAATCACTGAAATGTTGAGAGCAGCAGCAATATTCTTAACAGTCCCAAACCAAAAATGACTAAATGTCCATCAACAGATTTAAACTGTAGTATATTCTTAAAATGGAATACTATAAAATGACTACCATAAACAATCAATTATTACAACCAACAATCTGGATAAATCTCAGAAATACATTAAAGGAAATCAGACACAACTGAATGTCCTTGATTCTAGTGAGATAAAAGATGAAAACAGGCAAATCTATGCTATGAAAAGTCAGGACAGTGGTTACACATGGAAGGGGTAGTAACACAGAGGACTAGGGGCTACAGAAAAGCTACTGATGTTGTTTCTTGATCTGAATGCTACCTAAACATTTGTACTCAGTGTGTGAAACGTGCAACAAGCAGCCGGGCGCGGTGGCTCAAGCCTGTAATCCCAGCACTTTGGGAGGCTGAGGCGGGTGGATCACGAGGTCGAGAGATCGAGACCATCCTGGTCAACATGGTGAAACCCCGTCTCTACTAAAAATACAAAAAATTAGCTGGGCATGGTGGCATGTGCCTGTAATCCCAGCTACTCAGGAGGCGGAGGCAGGAGAATTGCTTGAACCCAGGAGGCGGAGGTTGCGGTGAGCCGAGATCGCGCCATTGCACTCCAGCCTGGGCAACAAGAGCGAAACTCTGTCATTAAAAAAAAAAAAAAAAAAAAAAAAAAGTGCAACAAGCTATACAACTTAGAAGTGCACTCCTCTGTATGTATATTGAAAAGATTCTCCTTAAAAAAATAAAAATAAAAACTTGATATGGTATTAGCATTAAACAGGTAAGCATAAAACAGAAAGTTAAATCCAGAGAAATTTCCAAAAATCTGACAGCTGCTGCTTCTCAAACTATTTTCAGACCTTGGATAATGGGCAGCACAAGACTATAATCCATGAAAGGACAAAAACAAAGGAGGTAAGTCATCCACTGCTTGGAGTCTGACTGGAGGTAATTTCCAACCTGCAGTCAATGGAGGGGAAACCCAGTGAGAAAAGAGCAGTTTCACTGAGGTGAGAAGCAAGAGATCACAGCTGAGGAAGCTGAAGTGGGCAAAATTTATAAGACAAATGCCAGACAAGAGGGGTGCTTGTCTGACGGGGCAGAGAAAAGGCTTCAGAAATCTTCTATTTGGGAGTCTAATGGCAATGGGAGTCTAATGCTGTGTACTGACTGTACATAAGTAAGGTAAGTGACTCCATGAAGCTAGGGAAAGAGAAGTAATGAGCTGCAATATTCCCAATACTTAGAAAGATCTGGAAGACTGCTAAATTCCCTGTAACCTGAGTGAAGAGAACACGGTGACACTGGGAGCATTTAATAACGACTCGGAAGGATCATGCCTTAGGTAGGAGATACTACCATTAAAGCCAAGCCTTCTCTAGACAAATGCCACTGAAGCCCTGAAGGAATAAAACTTACCCGCAAATTATTTAGCTGGCTTCAAATCAAAACACTCTAAAAGGAAACAAAATCTAGTCACTCAACAACAAAATACTGCAATGTCCAGCAACTAATTTTTAAAAATCATTAAATATGTTTAAAAAGAAAAAAAAAAAAAAAACAGGAAAACACAATCCACAAGAGAAAAATCGACAAATTTAGAAGTAAAAAAATTCATGGAATCAATAAGTAAAATTTTCAAATAGCTATTACAAATGTGCTCAAGAATTCAAAAAATACTTGGGAGGCCGAGGCGGGTGGATCACGAGGTCGAGAGATCGAGACCATCCTGGTCAACAGGGTGAAACCCCATCTCTACTAAAAATACAAAAAATTAGCTGGGCATGGTGGCGCGTGCCTGTAAGCCCAGCTAATCAGGAGGCTGAGGCAGGAGAATTGCCTGAACCCAGGAGGCGGAGGTTGCAGTGAGCCGAGATCGCGCCATTGCACTCCAGCCTGGGTAACAAGAGCGAAACTCCGTCTCAAAAAAAAAAAAGAATTCAAAAAATACATGGATAAAGATGAAAACAAATCAAATGGAACTTCTAGAAATACAAAGCAAAAAGGCTGAAATTATTTAACATGGCAGGAGCAAAAACAGTAAAACAGAAGACAAAACCACGTGAAGCACAGAGAAATAAAAAGGCCGAAAAATAACAAATAGGATGTTAATGACCTGTGAAAAATACCAAATGGTCTAACATATGTGTAACTGGAGTCCCAGAAAAAGAGGAAATGTTTTAAGAGTAGAGGTGATTAAAAATATATATATATATAGAAGAAACAATGATGACAATCTTCCAAAGTTAAGGAAAACCATAACATAAATGTACAAATTCAAAAGGGCAAAAAAAAACCCAAAAACCAAAAACTAACAAACCTCAACAACTCTCAGCATGGTAATCATGAAAAATGAAAAGTGACAAGAAAAAAATCTTAAAAGTAGTCAGGGAAAAAAGACTTAGTATAAGGAAGAAAAGATAAGTAGTGTTAGGCATCATTAGCATTAGCAACAGGAATACATTCTGAGAAACGTTATCATTAGGCGGCATCATTAGGTGATTCCGTCATTGTGCAAACATCACAGAATGTACTTACACAAATCTAGACAGTATAGCTTACTACAGACCTAGGGTATATGGTCTAGCCCTGCTGCTCCTAGGTTATAAACCTGTACAGTATGTTATTGTATTGAATTCTATAGACAACTGTAACACAGTAAAGTATATATCTAAACCTAGAAAAGGTACAGTGAAAATACAGTGGTATAATCTTAAGTGACTACTGTAATGTGTGATCTCTTGTTGCATGAAGTGTCATTATGTGGCACATGACTGTATAGCCAGACTTCTAATCAAAACAAATGCTGAAAGAAAAAACAATTTAACCAAGAGAAAAGAAACATATGTCTATATAGAGACTTGTTTTCATACAAATGTTCATTGTACCTTTATTTATAATAGCAAGGAACTGAAAACAGCCCAGGTGTCCCTTAATAGATGAAGTCACAAACCACTGAAACATGCAACAATATGGATGAATCTCAAAAACATTATGCTGAGTAAAAAGAAAGCTTTTTACAACACGTAAGTATTGTACTACTCTACTTACACGAAGTTCTAAGAAAGCTAAACTAAGATGAAAACAATCTGAACAATGATAGGTTCTAGGGGTGGTGTGGGGGGAGGAATAACTAGGAAAAGGTATACGTTCTATACCCTGATAGGAATTTCTGGCAAAGGTGTATACATTTGTCACAGATCATGAAATGGTGTATGTGGTCAACTGTATTTTACAAAGACTGTCACAACAGAAACCATTCCACATGCTCTTAACAATGTAACATTGTAATTTTTTCCATCAGGTGGTGGAGTCTATGGCCCTTCTCCTTGAATCTTCAGTGAAATCTGTAACTCTTTCAATCCAAATACCACAACTATCTACTGAGGACTGGTTCCAGGACTCCCATGGATACCAAAATCCAAGGATGCTTTGAATCCCTTACATAAAATGGCATAGTATTTGCATATAACATACATGCATCTTCAAATATGTTAAACCATCTCTAGCCTACTGAGTAGTACCAAATACAATGTAAATGCTACATAAACAGTTGTTATAACGTATTGCCAAAGACAAGCTCTCCTTGCCAATCCCTGACCAAATGAGAGATTCATGAGCAAAATAAATCGTTGCTAATATTTAAGGCACTAAGTTTGGGGCAATTTATTTCACAGCAATAAGTAACTGGAATACCACAGTAAATTCTAGTTAAAAATACTAAACTACTAAGTTTTAGTTAATATACATGCTGAAGTTAAGGGCATGGTATACTAACATCTGCAACTGACTTTGAAAAGCATAAAAAAAGACACTAGAAGAAGAGAAAATGGATAGATGGACAAGATAGAAGACAAAAACAAATATAACAAAATCTTAATTGTGAAATTACATTCTACAATTATTTTAAAGTCTGTGTGATTTGAAAAATTTTACAATAAAATATTGAGTGAAATAAAGACATTTCCATACAAATAAAAGCTGAAAGGTTTTGCAGCCAGTAGACCCACACTTCAGAAATGTTTAAGACATTTTTTCAAGTAGAAGGAAAATAACACCAACAAGAAACTTGGATCTCCACAAAGGAAAAGAAATGAAAGTGGTAAATATGATGGTAAATATAAAGGAATGTTACTGTTAAAAAGTTTCTTTGTAAAACAACTGGCCTTTGAAATAGTTTCAAACTCTACTGTGAAATCTATAACACATATAGAAATAAAATAAATATAAGATTACAGTACCAAAAACAGTAAGAGTAAATGGATGTATATTATTCTAAAGTTCTTACACATTAAGAGGAATATTTTTAAAGGTAAACTGAGGTAAGTTAAAGGGGCATATTATAAATCCTAGAACTACCACTGGGAAGAAAGACAAGCTAAAAAAATGGAGACAATTCCAAAAAAATGTTCATTAACCAAAAGGAAAGCAGAAAAGGAGGAAAAGATTAGACTAATAGAAAAGGAACAGTTTCTTAAACACAACTCTGTTGCCAACTGCAATAAATGTAAATAAACGTAAGACAATCAAATTAAAAACCAAAGATCGTAAATATCAGTCTCAAAACAAGATGCAACTATATGCTACCTAAAAGAAAGACATTAAATTAAATGATCAATAAGTTGAAAATAAAAAGCAAAAAGATATAATACACAAAAATTAATCATAAGAAAGGAGTGGATACACTAATACCAAAATAGACTTTAGATAAGGAACATTACCAGAGATAAACAGAGACATTTCATAATGATAAAGGCATCAATTAATCAAGGATACCTAACAGTCCTAAATGTGAACACACCTAATGACACAACTTCACAGATTTTGCTTCAAAGCATATGAAGCAAAAATAGAAGGAAGATAAATTCAAAATTATGAAGATTTCAACATTCCTCTCTTGGTAATTAATAAGTGGACAGAAAATCAGTAAAGATGCAGAAGAAATACATTTATCTATCTGATAAAGAACATGCATTCTGAAAAGAATGGAAAATACTGCACACACAAAAAACTTCTCAATGGTAGTCATGAAGAAAATGTAATTAAAACCATAATGACTTTTCACACCCATTAGAAAAGCAATTATTTTAAATAAAAAAACAAACTACCAAGTGTTAGCAAAGATGTGGAGAAACTGAAACCCTTATTCACTGCCAGTAAGACTGTAAAATGGTGCAGTCACTGTGGAAAACAGAATGGCATGACTCAGCAAACTCCACTCCTAAGTACATAACCAAAAGAATTAAAAGCAAGGACTCAAATATTTATACACCAATGTTCATAGCAGCATCATTCACATAGTTAAAAGGTTCAAACAGCCCAAATGTAACCAACAAATAAAATTTTTAAAAAGTGATATATGTAGACAGTGAAATATTATTCAACCTTAAAGAATCAAATTTGGATACATGCTACAACATGAATGAACTTGGAGGACCGATACGGTTTGAATTTTTGTCTTGCCCAAATCTCATGTTAAAATATAATTTCCAGCCGGGCGCAGGTGGCTCACGCCTGTAATCCCAGCACTTTGGGAGGCCGAGGCAGGTGGATCACGAGGTCAAGAGATCGAGACCATCCTGGCCAACATGGTGAAACCCCGTCTCTACTAAAAATACAAAACATTAGCTGGGCATGGTGGCGCGTGCTTGTAATCCCAGCTACTCAGGAGGCTGAGGCAGGAGAATTGCTTGAACCCAGGAGGTGGAGGTTGCGGTGAGCCGAGATCTCACCATTGCACTCCAGCCTGGGTAACAAGAGCGAAACTCTGTCTCAAAAAAAAAAAAAAAACAAAACAAAACAAAACAAAACAAAACAAATATATATATATATATATATATATATATATAATTTCCAGTGTTGGGGGTGGGGCCTGGTGGGAGGTAACTGGGTCATAGGAGCAATCCCTCATAGCCTGGTGCTGTCCTTGGAATAGAGAGTGAGTTCTCATGAGATCTGGTTGTTTAAAAAGGGTGTGCCACTTTCCCACCCTCTCTCTTGCTCCTGCTCTCCCCTTATGACATGCCTGCTCCCCCTCTGCCTTCCACCATGAGTAAACTCACCATGAGAGCGCCCCAGAAGCTGAGCAGATGGTGGTGCCATGCTTGTACAGCCTGCAGCCCCAGGAGCCAAATAAACTTTTCTTTTTAAATTACCCAGTCTCAGATATTCATTTAAGGCAACGCAAGAATGGCCTAACATAGGACATTATTATTAAATGAAATGTGCCAGACACAAAAGGACAAAAATCATATGAATCCACTTATATGAAGTACCTGGAAGAGTCAAATTCATATAGAAAGTAGCAGTGATTACCAGCAGATGGGGAGAGTAGGCAATGAAGAGTTACTGTTTAATGGGTAGAGTTTCAGAGATGGATAGTGGTGATGGCTGCACAATAATGAATAATGGTAATGTACTTTATGTCACTGAACTGTACACTTAAAAATGATTAAAATGGTAAATTTGATGTTATGTGTATTTTTATACAATAAAAAAAAAATCACTGCAATGGAATACCACTACACATCTCAGAATGTCTGCAATTAAAGACTGAGAACATCAAATGCTGATACTTGGAGAACTGGAGCTCTCATACACTGCTGATGAGAATGTAAAGTAGTATAATCATCTGGAAAATAATTTGGCAGTTCCTTATACATTTAAACATAAACTTACCACGTGACCCAGTAATTCCAATCTAAAGTACTTACCCTAGAAAAATAAAAACATGTTCACACAAAGACATGCACACAAAACAGTACCTTTATTCACAACAGCCTAAAACTGAAAACAATATAAATGTTCACCAGAAAATGAATAAACAAACTGTGGTATACCCATATTGTATTTAAAAAACAAATGTGTGACAAACACAAATTGGGTGAATCTCAAAAACGTGCTAAGTGAAATAAACCAGACATGGAAGAGTGTATGTTACCTGCGGAATTCTAGAGTAGGGAAACTAATGAACAGATTAGTGGTTGCCTGGAGCAAAGAGAGAGAAATGACTACCGGCAAGAAGGAGCTTTTTGGAGGTAATTCAATTGTTCTAAAGCTTGATTGTAGTAGCAGTGATAGTATATATATTTGTCAAAATCAATAAAGTAGTACAGTTAAAATGGGTGCATTTCATTGTATATCAATTATACGTCAATAAACTTGATTTTTTTTCAATGTTTGTTTGAACTTGATATAGGAAAAGCTGGCATTTTAAGTGGAGAAAGGATGCCTTAAGTGGTCAAGACAATCACTACAAAAGTTCAAGAAAATAAAAGGTAGATACAATTCCCACACCATATGACAAATGCAATCCAGATCATACCATATAAAAAAATGCTGATTGTTCAGCTCTAACTTTGTAAGTTAAAGTCTATAAAATAAAATCATAAAAGTATCAGAAGAAAATATAAAAGACTGGCCAGGTATAGCAGCTCATGCCTGTAATCCCAGCACTTTGGGGGGGCTGATGTGAGAGGATAGCTTGAGGCCAGAAGTTTGAGACCAGTCTGGGCAACACAGACACCTTCTCTACAAAAACAACAAACAAACAAAAACCAAACTAGCTGTGGTGGCACATGCCTGTAATCTTAGCTACTTGGGAAGCTGAGGCAGGATGATCACTTGAGCCCAGGAGTTTGGGGTTGTAGGGAGTTACAACTTCTCCAGCATGGGTGGTAGAGCGAGATCCTATCTCTAAAAACTTTTTGTAATATGTGTATGAGATCATATTTATATCATCTTTGTTGGCATGCGGAAACCCAGAAGCCATAAAAGATGGATAGATTTGCTTACATAAAAACTCTAAATTTTCATATGACTAGATACTATAAAATTAAAGGTAAATAATGAGATAATATTTGCAAATTATAATAAAGAAATAATATATAAAGAATGCTTACAAATTTAAAAAACAAAGAACACAATAGAAATGGACCAAAAAAAAACAGGCAATTGCACAGGCTATTTATAAAAATTTAAACAGATTTTATATATATATATAAAACAAGGTAAAT